TTCGGACAGAGGTGGATTACTGTCCCCTTCTGACCCAGCTGCGGCGCGGCCTGCCCGGGGCCCACCGCTGCATGGGCAGGTCAGCGTCTTCAGCCACCTGTGCTTGGCCGGGCGTTAGTTCGTCTCTCTGGATCCCACACTGAAGGGTCTGGATCAGAGCATGCTCTGGGAAATTTCCAGCTCTTAATGCTTCTCCATTTCTCCTTGTTTTTAAGGGCTCTTTTAAATATTCCATCTCTCCCAGAAATCAAATCTTCCTTTAATCGGGGGATCAGATCGGTGTTGTCACTCAGCTCAGTGTCTGTGGATCCTGGGGGCACCTCCTGCCCTCCCTGGGAGGTCCCCTCTTCTGGAAAGTGAAATAATGACATCACGGACACTCAGTGAATGGTAGTTTTAATCATCACTAATAATATTATTTTTGCTATTATTTAGAGTTTGGGGTTAACAAAATAGGACAACTCCTTTCCCTAGACTGTTGCCACTGGCCATTTTAAAGGAACCTTCTTCCCCACTCAGAATCTGAGGGCAGGAGACTTTTTGAAATTGCTGCCCCTACTTGAATCCCACCTCCCTCGAGCCTCTGGGTCTCCCTGTGGTGTCCTGTGGAGCAGGTGTCGGTAAACCCACCCCTTCCTCCCGCTCAGCTCTTCCTGCCTCCATTCACCCATTTCCAACCTGCAGCCTCCACGAACAGGCGCACACTTCACGGACCCCTGCCTCTTCCTGTGGTTGGCTTGCCCCAAATCTTACCTTTACCCTCATTTCCCAATGTCTCCACCTGGCAACCAGGAATAGTGATCTCTTGGAAACCTACGAAAGGCAGTTAAAGCCCCTCTGTCTTTCTTCACTTAGAGCACATTTGTGGGGTGTCTGCTACATACCAGGAGCTTGCATGAGTGCCGGGGCTACCTGGAGAAGGAGAGGAAAATCCACAAAGTATCCCAGGGCAGCAAGATGCTCACTGAGGTGTGGTCACACCACCGCCCCGCCCCCCCCCCCCCCCCAGCTAGCTAACTCAGCTCTCGCGTGATTAGAGAAAGTTCTAGGTGTATCAGCTCCCCCTTTCCCTTCCCCAGGCTCTGTTCCTCTGCGGCCTCTTTTAGGGAATAGCTTCTGGAATCCTCCAGAGATGTTACAGCCAGAGACCCCACCCCTGCTGGAAGGATCCAGTCTTCAGCATCCAGGAATGTGGTAACAACTCCAAAGTGCTTTTTCGAAGACGCTCCCATCACGCATACCCGCCCTGCTCCCCGGGACACAGCACACCCGGTCAGTGTTTACACAGAAATACACAAACTGACCTCAAATCGTAGTTGTTTGGAACGTCTCCGAGGGGTTGCACGCAACTTGCGTTGCCAGCTGTCAGGCTCCCTCTCCTCCAGATGTCGTCCCTCCAGCCAAGGACGGCTTCAGCCAGGTTCGCAGGAGCCACATCCGTGCGCTGTGCCCAGCGTCTCTGCTCTTCTCCCCTGGGAACCGAGTAACGGGGACATCAGCCTCCCGTTCCGAACGGCCCAGGCAGCGCCGTGAGCAGAGCCGTGAGGGGCAGGGTGAGCACCCCTCGTCCAGGTTTACCCTGGACCCACACGGGGAGGTGTGTGTGGGGGGAGAGCCCCCTGGTCCATGCCAGATTAGGTCTCCCTGGTGAGGAGCTCATGCCTTGGGTCCGAGGAAGGTTTTGGAATCTGAAAATAAGTGTCCTCACCAAAGAAGATCAGGAACTCCTGGAGCCATGAGGCTGGGAGGTGTTTTCCTTCGGGGGGGACCCGGCGCTGGAGAGGGCCGGGCACATGGCAGATTGAAGGCAGGCGGCATTTAGTGGTGGAGTTCTGGGGACAGGCGGAGCTGGGCCGTGTGCCTGCTCACCTGCGCGTCACCTGGGCATCCTTTTGGGGTAAGAGGGTTTCTTCAGTCACTTGACAGGCACTTATTAAAGGCTTAGCGTAGAGTTGGCAGACAAAAGCAAATAACTACGATAGTTTTAGATAAGGGTGTGTGGGTAGCTGATGGATCAGACGGGAGGGTGAGGGAAAGAACGGAGTCAAGAATGGTGCCTGGGCCCCGGCCAGGGCTCAGTTGGTGGGAGTGTCGTCCCCTGCAACACGGAGGTTGCTGGTTCGAGTGTAGGGGAGGCAACAGATCAATGTGTCTGTCTCGTATGGATGTCTCTCTCTCTCTCTCCCTTCCTCTCTCTCTAAAAATCAATCAAAACATATCCTCGAGTGAGGATTAAGGAAAAAAGAAAGAAAAACGGTGCCTGGGATTCTGAGTTGAACAGAGGGAGGTGGGAAGTGGGACGAGACCCACGTGGGAGGGATACCAGGCAGTCTGCTCCGGGGTCCGGGCTGAGATGCCGGGTGGTTTAGCAGGGGGCTGCTGCTGGCCATGGCGTGTGGCCCTTGGGGTATGGTTGGCGCGTGAACTTGGAGTAAAGAGGTTGCCCAGTGAGAGAGTGTGCCCATGGAGCGGGGAGGAGGCCCAGCCCAGGCCCTGGAGCAGCCAGCACCAGCAGTCAGGCGGGGGATGCTCAGGAGGGGGCAGAGGAGGGTGCAGGGGGGGAGTGAGAGGGAGTGAGGCAGCCGTCAGCCTGACAGCCTGCACTCCCACGGCTGTCTCTGGGGCTTGTCTGCCACCACGTACTCAGCACACACAGGAGGACGTGAGAAACGTGAAACAACTGCTCCGCGAGCCTGCCTTCTCAGTGGTGTTTCCGTCAGCCGTGAAAAGTGTTTAATAAGACAGGTTTCTGAGTGGAAACTGCTTTCCGCTCGGGCTGCCAAGGGCCAGGTGTTTGCACCCCCACCTGAGCCGGGTTGGTGCCCGCCGCCCCCAGCCCCGTGATGGGCTCGGCCCCGTTGCTCTGCCTCCCCCAGGGCACAGCCGCAGCTTAGCGAATAGGGAACTTCCCCAGCTACCGAGACAGCCGAGCTGCCCAGGCCCTGGCCCTGAACGGGCTCCACAGTGTTAACTATGCCCCGAGCCCTGTGGTCTCCTTTGCAGCTGAGTTCAGGAAAGAGGCACCGCCTCGGGGACCTGGAGAGCAGCCTTTGCGGCTGGAAGCACGGCCCCCGTCCTCCGGGCCTCTGTGCCCCAGCCTGCGCTCCTCGCTCCATGTCAAGAAGAAAGGGGGTCTCCACATGACAGCCCCAAAGTCTTAGGGAAACCTGGCTAGTTCGGACCTCTCCTCTTTTCTCACGTCTTCCTGTAGACCTCACCGTTGCACGGCCTGTGTGCGTCCCTGGCTGGGGGAACCGGGTCATTTTACGCAGGGGCCCGCTTTCCAGCTGCACGTGTGAACATGTAACTCGCGTGGGTACGCCAGTCGGAATCACTTTCCTCTGCGCGTCTGCATCTCATGGGCCTCCCGGTGGTCACCAGGACTGTGAGCTCTGAGGTTTCCCCTCCGTCCTGTGCACGGACTGGCTGCTGCTTGTTCATGGCCCCTGCGGACAGCAGGCCCTTCCGTTTCCTCGGGCCGCTGTCTGCGGGGTCCTCGTGCCCTGCTCGGGAAATGGGCTTGCCTACTGAAGTTGACGCCGTGCATCCTTGTATGTGCACTGACGTGCTCGCACCCCAGCCAGCCCTCTCTGTGTGTTTTTTAAGCACATGTGGATAGATAAATTGTGAGAATTGGTAAGAGGGCTTAGCGGAAAGCGAGGTGAGTGGGTGCTGACAGCGCTGTCCCCGTCCTTCCGAATAGAACTTCACTGGCCAGTACAGAAGAGAAGCACCCAGTTGTGACTCTCAAAGCGAAGAACTTCATAAACGCATGCGTGTGAGATCCCAAGGTGCGGAGACGTGGTGTGTACCTGGGGCTCCGTGAGCTAGCGACCAGAAAGCCAGAGCCAACGCCCCGTCACCCGCAAGGTGCTGAGGTCCCCTCTCACTGGGAGGATGGGCAGCCCAGGAAAGGCCTGTGTGGCCCACGCAGGCAGCCTCCCTTCTCTGAGCCTCAGTTGCTCGTCTGTAAACTAGGACAACATCACCATTTCTTCACAGGAATGCTTCAAGGCCAAATGTATTAATGTATGTGACTTCTCTTGAGAAACTCTAAAGCATGGTGTATGTTTTTTGAAAAGCCTTCTCAGGCATTACTTTATTTACCCCCACAAGAACCCCATAGAGTATCCTTGTTTTACAGGTAAGAAAGCTGAGAATTGTGGGCTGAAAGATCTGGTATGTTACCTTGCACTTGACGACCACGGTTCACTTTGAAAAATAATAGCAATTCTCCTTTGCCTATTGAAATAGCAGGCATCCGCCCCAGCAGAGTGGTTATCACTAGACTAAAGCTGGACAAGGACCACAGAAAGATCCTTGAACATAGAGGCAAATCTCACCACGTAAGAAAGGAAAAGGGAAAAGGCAAGAAAGAAACAGTTACAATGCAGGATTCAAGTAATCTGATATACAACTTGCATTAAAAACTTACAATAAATAAAAAAAAATAGTAGAGACATTTCTTAGCAAACAATAATAATTGAGAGACCAGGAGTTGTCCCTCTGTCCTGTCCCCGGCCACTTGGGACTTCTCTCTGTGGTCACTTATCATGAGAAGTGATTGCGTAATACACGCACCCACGAAAGGCAGGCACCCAGCACCACCCAACCCAGGGCTAAGTCAGAGGCGTTGGTACCATCTTAAGGAAAGACTGTTCTGTGAACCAAAGAGGTTTTTTGATTTTGTTGTTGTGTTTTCACAAAAGGGTGAAACCTTTCCTTTTCTAATTATAATGAGAATAAATGCACGCTCTTTGTTTTTATAAAACAGCCAAGTTCTGTTGAAGTTATGTTCTTGAAATCTAAGTCGTAAATCTAAGCCTTGCTCTGAGTGGCTGATCTGTGAATACCTAGTATGATATCATTTTGTTATATTATCAGAGCATTGGGTGGTAGGGGAGGGGCTCCCTCATGTAAAAAGACATTTTATTAATTGATTTTCTTTTCTTTTTCTTTCTTTCTTTCTTTTTTTTTTTTCTTTTTGCCTCTCATTTCAGAACGGTTTGATCACCACTGTCCCTGGGTAGGCAACTGTGTGGGGAAAAGAAACTACAGATTTTTTTATATGTTTATTTTATCTCTGTCTTTTCTGACAGTCTTTATATTTGCATTCGTTGTCACCCACGTCATCCTTCGTAAGTATGCTGCGAAATCAGATCACGTATGTAACCATGGCCTGACTTTGGTTTTCTGATTTAATTTTGATTTGATATTTTGATCATTTAGGGCTTTCTCTTTCTTCTCTGCCCCCTTCTCCTTGTCCCCGTCCTCCCCTCCATCTGCCCCCTTTGCGTCTCTGCCTTCCTCCATCCCCCTCAGTCCCCCTCCCTCCCATCCCCACCCCCATCCTTCCAAGGGCAGCTGCCAGGGTCACACCTCGGACAGGCTACACTTCACCCACAAGACTTTTTCCTTGGTACACTTGTTCCTGTTCCCACCGCAGCAGCTCCACTTTCTCTTCTGTTCAGAGACCCTCTGGAAGAGTCACCCCCATATTTTGTACAAAGGAGAATGTGCTGCAGTGGTCACCATAGAGCTTTTTAACTTTTTAAGCATGAAATCTACTTAAGCAGATCAGCCACCTCCACTTAAGCAGAACAGTCTCCTCCCTAGAAAAAAGTGTCTGGGGATAAAGCCTGGGTTTTCTGGCACACAAATCTACATGTTGAAGTTACGTATTTGATAAGAAGTTCCGTTATCTGCTAGAACATTAGTGAGCTACCCCTGGCACATGAGGGAAGCATCTTAATTAAAAATGAGATGGATATTAATGACTTTAATATATAGTTGCCTAAGCAAAGGGCATTTTTCATTCCTCGTTCTGAAGGTCATGACTTTGGATTTCTTTCGTCTCTTGACCATTCATTTTTCTACAATAGGCAGTGATGAGAAGGAAGTTAATTGGCTCTGAGCTATAAATTTAAGCCTTTAAACTTCCATTACGGTGCCATTAGCAGCATTAAGGAGCCTCTTGTCCATATTCCTAAAGTACCACCACCCGTTAGCAAGTGCAGAGCCTCTTTCTGGAATGTTCCAGAAAGTATCCGATACATGCCTTTCTTTCTTCCTGAATAGCAGCACTAAACCACAAAGGGGGTGTCTAAGGCTGAAGTTAGTTGTTCCTCCCCTTCTCTTCCAGTGGGGTCTGTACGGGGCCTGTATGGGACCCGGGGGAGTGGATGGTGAGGAAAGTTTCATATTAGTTCTTTTTAAATATCTGTCAATTTTGGACATTAGATGGAGTACCCCAAAATTTCATAGGCATTTTAAATCCTATTTCCCACTTTTTCTTACCGAAATCCTTCCATCTGAATTCGTAGTATATGTGTGAGAGCCATAGCTCGGCAGGACTGTGAGAACAGGGTTGGCATTCAGGAGGGCCTTCCCCACAGGACCTGGGGTGATGCAGTGGCTCTGCAGAGACCCCTTTTCTCTCAATTTTCAGAGTTGGAAGATGGCAAAGGTAGCCAGAGTCCTATCTGTGTGTTAACAGACAAAAGAATCAGAGAGGAGAAGCCACTGCGGACACATCTAGGGAAGAAATAAGTACTGCTGCCGCAGTACATTGTCTGTGATGCTACAAAGTGGGGTTTAAACGTCACATCTGTGTCGTCTTTAGTAACTTCAAAGTGCTTTCCTACATCTAAGATCACGTGGCAGTTATGGCCTTGCCCCTACATTTGGGGTAATAAGGGCCTGTTTTCATTTGCTCAGCCACACACACAAACTGGGAAAACACGCGCACACACACACACACACACACACAGTGAGACCCCCCTAACAGCACAGTGGGGTTGTGATGCACGATTCACTCTCGCCTCCCTTAGAGTCTCACTCACCCGGGCTCCAGAAAACTGGACTGCGCTGAGGATTTTGCTCCTGTATTGTTAGTTTAGTCTTCCACACACAAAACACTCAGCATTCATCTGCCTGCAAGTCACCCGCATGTTTTGGACAAAGCAAATAAAGATTTTCCTCTCCTCTTGTTCTGCACCCCAACAGCTCCCACGCCCATCTGGCGTGACCCGAGATGCTTCCAGGAAGGGCAGTTGTTTATATGGTCCCCGCGCTCCCCGAGATTGCAGCTGGGGGCGGCCAGCCAGGCAGTGGGCTCCGCGAGGGGGACAGAGGGCGGGGAGGGGAGGTTGGGGTGAGGGCTCTGCTGTCGCAAACCTTCCTGACAAGGTGATGCCTGCAAGTCCTCCAAAGGAAGGAGCGTTGGGAAAGCCATACAGTGTGGGTCCCGAGGGAAAGAAAGTCATTTCTTCTGGTCCCCTTGGCCTCAGGCGGTGTTTGCTCGCAGATCTGCCGCAGCCTGCCCTCTGGCTCAGCTCTGCTGGCCTAGCAGGGGCGGGAGAGGAGAGAGCCAGGGCTTCCCCCCTTCATTCTCCCACCGGTTGGCCCCCAGCACACACCGCGCCTCCGTGGTGGCCTGCAGGCACAGAGAGGAGGGGGGACACACAGAGGAAGTGGAAACGGGGGAAGATTGTGGAACCTCCCCACCCACAGCCGTCCCTGTAGCTCCCACACAGCAGCCACACCAGCCCAGCGGGCCGCCGGAGTGCCTGCGAACCAGCCCCGATGTCCCTTCCCCCTGCTCATCCCATCGCTGGCCCGGGGCCAGACCACGGCCCCAAACACCGGCTTCATGCGGTACCGCAGGGACCCGCACTGCCACCCCCCAGGGGAACAGCCGCAGTTCCTCCCGTGGGCTTTTATTGTAAGAACCACCATGTCAGTACATAACAACAAGTGCTTCTTGTCAGATGCGTCTTCATTCAAGCCCTTAAGGAATGTTTTCTGGCACAGACAGTTCCTGTGAAAATGTCCTCAACCCCAAAGAAGTCAGTAATAAACCTCCGTTTTATAAGTGTTTACTCTGGACGCAGGGAAAGACGTCTTTTACACGTAGCCCAGTTCCTAGGACATCCAGGGTCAGAAGTTAACCAACTCTGGGAAAACAGTCTTTCATAAAAGAAGAGGAAAAATTACATACAGAATTCTGTTTATTAAAATGAGGACAACAAAGGAGTAATCAGGACTATAATTTATGGGAAAGTATGCAGGCACCATCTGCTTTTATTGGAAAAATCTCCCGCAGATGTTGGGTCTCGCTGTGAATCTGCCTCCTCCTTGCTGAATGACGTTAGTGGAGTCTCAGTCTCGAATCAGTACCCTGGGTGCTGTGGCACCTACAAATTACAATTATTGAATTGCTCTTGAGACACCTGTTATTTTTGTGTAGATGAGCACACCCTCAGCATGCAGGCTGCTTTTCTGGAGGTGAATGTTGGAGTACTAAATTTTGGTTTTATTCCCACAGGTTCACAACAAACAGGATTCCTTAATGCCCTTAAGGACAGTCCTGCGAGATATCCTTTGTGGCGGTTGTGTAGTTTCCGAGGCTAACGTGTTACGTGTCGGACTGACCTCCTACCCAGTCACCTCTGCATCTTGTGCCTTGGCTTGTCTTCTCGGAGAGCGTATTCTTTTCTGTTCCGTAGCGTGCAGCGAGCTCCCCGACACCCCTTGCGTGAGGAAGAGCGTCCGAATGGGTGGACTTCGCAATGTCTCGCTCGCTGGCCTTGTTTTAGCTGAGGTGCTTGCTCTTTAGCTAGAAAACCAAGTGTGAATTCTCGCCCACCCCCAGGAGCCCACGTTCGTTTGTGTCCAGTGAGGTTGGTCCGGGGGAAGTAAGGCTGCAGGCCACAGCGGACTTTATTGTGATCAGCGGGTGGTCCCCACAGCGCCTCTGTGGGTCCCCTGTGTGGGTCCGCTTCTTGGCAGCCACCAGATGGAAATCGCCTGAGTCTCTGTGTGGATTCTGTCTGGGACCCGTTTGGCATTCCTCTGGGCAGTACAGATAACCCGTGTTTATTTTCAGAAACAGAACACCTTTTCAGAACACCAACAGCCCTGGATGGACTAACGTTGGTTCATCTGAAGTCATCTGGATTAACCCCAGCCTCTCAAACAGTATATATATGGGCATGTGCCATAGTATTTTGAAGTTCTTGAAAGAAAAATGTTCAGCCGTTAGGTTGTTGTGTGGGCTCCCCTCCCCTCCCCTGTCCACCTTGGTCTTTCACTAATCGGAGCTGCCTGGCTCCATCTGGGACCCAGCTCTCTCTTCGTGTAGCCAGGCAGCTGGACTTGAGCTCCGCGTTATCCCAGGACTCGGCACCTTGTGGTAGAGCATTCTCAAAGAACGAAGGACTTGACTGAGATGTGCGTATCACATGCACCGCTGTCAGTGACAGGGACCCCGCACCGGCTCGAAAGGCTGGCCTGAACCCTGTTCAGTTCCCGGGGCCTTCGGGCTGCTGCCGCTCCGCACGGTTCCCCTTGGGCACCTTCAGGCACAGCCCCCCCCCCCCCCCCCCCCCCCCCCCCCGCTGGAGCAGAGCTGTGTGTAGCTGGGCGTGTTGCTGCTAGGGGTTGTGTGGCCCTGCAGACCTCCCGACCCCAGGCTCTCGCATCTCACGGTCCCGGAATGAGCCGTAAGGAAAGACCTGTAGCAAGACCTAGACTGGTAGCAAGACCAGTAGCAAGTCCTAGACAACTTTTCTTTTTCATTTATTCTTTTATTTATTACTTTTATTTTTTTTATCTTTATTGTCGAATTACAGATTTCCTTCTTTTTCCCCCCACTGACACCCTCCTCCCTACCCCACCCCCACCTTCACCGCCCTGTTGTCTGTGTCCATTGGTTGTGCATATATGCATGTAAGTTCTTTGGTTTATCCCCCCACCCCCACAGGACAACAGCTTTCCATTCCTGCTCCATCACAGCTCATGATGACGTACGGGGCATTTCTTTTAACCCTTTTGTGTCTCAGTGTTTTGACCCGCAGTAGTCAGCCACTCTGACTTGACACTGCTGTGCGGACACAGCCAGCTATTTGGCACGTGTGTGAGAAGGCCCGATGCCGAGGCCTTGCTTGCACGCGTGGGAGGCGTGGTTTCAAGGGAGCGCCTTCTCGTGCGGTCTGCGCGATGGGCAGGCGCTGCCAGCACCGTCTG